CTATATTCGTGTGACTGATTTACTGGTGGTAGGACCTCTTGTGAGTCGGCACATGTAGGTACCACCGCGCTGCCTATTTCGGCCGTGAAGCAGTAACGCGTTTCGGTTTGTAAGGGTAGGGCAGCCGTTGTAACTATAGTGAGACCTTAGAACTTATATTTCAAAGATGGGTGGCGCATTTACGTTGTAGATGTCTATGGGCTCAAATAACCACTTATCACCAAATGGGCTGTGAGCTCGTCCAACCATGTGAACAATAAAAAATAAAATAAAAAGACATATCTAAATTACCATTCCAAATTCACGGTTTCACTATTCGGGGCAGATTTACAGAACATATACTCCGCGAATACAGAGCTTTTATTAACTTAATCTTTATCACTTGACTCACTTAAATAATCATTCTATTCGTACGTATGTTACTTAAACTCCTAGGGGCGCGGAATAAAAATCTCAATTGTTTATATATCAATAAGTAGCGACCCGCCCTCGCTTCGCTTCGGACATTGTAATTTATTGGAACGAAGTTCCTTACGGCAGGCTTGGAGAGGATAGGGATTTTGCTTCGCGATCGAACTGAAAAAAATGTGATAGTAGTAAAACCGTAAGAAAAAATCCGTGGATAAAAGTGCGTGGAATAAACCCGTTAAATGAGACGTGCGCAGGCGCGACAGTCGCATACACAAGCGAGTAGTGTATAATACCTTTCTCTTTCTCCTTCTTTCTTTTCGTTCTCTAATCCCTTCTCTCTCTATTTAGTAATTATTTCTATTTCTATGTAATTTTATGTTGTCAACCAAAAATAAAGAGATATATTTTGTTATTTTAATTGATAATTTGAATTACTATTTTTTTTATTTTACGTAATTTATTATTTCCTAAAATACTGAATTTCCTAAATACTTTCCCGTACTTAAATAAAAACTAATCAGCAAAATTTAAGAGAAAAACCAAGAAAACCTACATAAAATTGAGCACCATTTCTTTTTTATTGATTTCTCCACTATTTAATGGATATAAACCTTCCTCTTCAATCACTATCTATTAAAAAAAACCGCATCAAAATCCGTTGCGTAGTTTTAAAGATTTAAGCATACATAGGGATATAGGGACAGAGAAAGCGACTTTGTTTCATACTATGTAGTGATAAAACATTATGTCTCTTAAAAAATGGATTACATGCTTAATTCGCTATAGAAATAATCAGGATAGTGATGCCTCCGTACGGATTGTAAGTCATGGACATCTGAATCACCTACAACACTAATTGCCACTTAATTCTGACACGCGCAGAAAATGATAAAAAAATGAAAAAAAAATGCGAAAAAATTATGTTTTTCAACGGACCCGACCTCTTTATTCGAAATATGAAAAACTATGTCAAGAATCGACTTTCAGACAGGAAACCCGAGCCCACGTAAAATTGCAGCCATTTTTAACTGAATACCTTTTTTTTTTTCAAGTCCGCGGGAATAAATCTTTTCGTGAATTTCATTTTTAATACGCTTTTATTAGATTCAGACGTATGTATGTTTGTAACGGAATCTTTGAACATGTTTTTGACCCCCTTCAAAACGTCGGATTAACTCGAAATTTAGTATACTTATTAAGGACCAATGACAATATAATACTAAAAAAAATATTGAAATTCAACGAAAAAATGAAAAATAAAGAATTTGAAAAAATAAAAAATGAAAAATAAATAATAGTTTAAAAAACTAACAAAATACGCTTTTATAGAAAATCTAATAAAAAAATAAAAAATAATGCATGGTATCAGTAGTTACAAATATTTTATAAACAGATAGGAGTAGAAGGGATATTTTGATAATATCCTGAAAAGCACCCCAGGGTTTTTTTTACAATAAAATAATTTTTTTCTTACACTATTCTTAATTCGAATTAACTAAAATTTATTTTCTATTTTTTAGTTGGATTTTCTATTAAAGCGTATTTTGCTAGTTTTTTTAAAACTATTATATTTATAGTAGTTATAGTTTTTGTATTTCTGTTTGGCATGTTCATTTTTTTTTTGTTTAATCGGGATACAAGCTCGTCGCACATGAGCTTTCGTATGAGCGAATTTGGTTAGAGAAGCCAGAATTACACAACAGTGAGATTGGTCATAACAGTCGATATTTTACCTGGAGCCACTGCGGTCATCCACAGTGCGTTTCCAGAGGTCTTTTTTGCCACGTACCATCCGGCTATGGAATGAGCTCCCCTCCACGGTGTTTCCCGAGCGCTATGACATGTCCTTCTTCAAACGAGGCTTTGGAGAGTATTAAGCGGTAGGCAGCGACTTGGCTCTGCTCCTGGCATTGCTGAAGTCTATGGGCAACGGTAACTAATCACCATCAGGTGGACCGTATGCTCGTAAGCTTACAAGGGCAATAAATTTTTTTTTTTTTTTTTGGAATCGATTCGTTACAGACTCAGGGCAGTATATTCTGAAGACTCTTTCTCCAGCACTCCATTGTAATGGCGTATACATTCTTAATGTTGTAAAATTAATTGAAGTTAGGTAGCCGCGTACAAGGAAGCCGTTACACTATCGAGATGCATTAGGGCGCCCAGTCGCTTCATTAGTGCAGCAATTTATCTAGATTAATGTACTAGCTAGACCGCTGAGTTCATTTACGGTGCACTGAATTTTAAGCTTTAAGTGGAAATTTTATGGTCTAATATTCATGTAATTTCTCTAGACTTATTCTGGCTTTACCACATAATGCGTATATTATTTTGTTAGTGTGGAATTCAGTGTTCATTTGATGTTAGGGGTTTATCGATATATATAGACAGGATTACCAGGTTTCTATTTTTATTGCTTATAAGTGGACGAGCTCACAGCCCACCCGGTTTTAAGTGGTTATTGGAGCCCATAGACATCTACAACGTAAGTGCGCCATCCACCTTGAGATATAAGTTCTAAGGTCTCAGTCTAGTTACAACGGCTGCCCCACCCTTCAAACCGAAACGCATTACTGCTTCACGGCAGAAATAGGCAGGGTGGTGGTACCTACCCGTGCCGACTCACTGTGATTTATTTGAGACAGAAATCGGCAGCAGCGTAGTATCCGTTATCCTTCCAACACAACAACAGTGGATGTCATTTTCATTAATGGAATAGATATGACGGACATCGATTCATCTTAAATATATTCAAAATCTGCTTCTAAAAACTTTGAAAATTCATATTTTACGTGTTATTAGACATTCCGAAGTTGTTGAGAGAGCAGGGTTGCAATATTAAAAATAATACGAGATTAAAGGTTCGGGATTTGGCGGGTAAAATGACAGCTGTCAAACGAGGATTAAATATGGTCGCCCGACGCCAATACCTTTCTGAATTGACTTCATGGTTTACCTTTATTTTTCGAAAATCAATCCTTGATCTGACAATGTCGTGATCTTGTATCGTTTTTAAGCTGCAGAACAGAAATTACTGTATTTGTTAACCCTTTATAGGTTATTGAACTCCAAAATTAAATGAATGCGGATGCTTGGATGATTCTCGTTAACGTCAAATCAATACGCAAGAATATTCAATAAGAAAACAAATGTGTCAAATCGCAGAGACATTGAATTGATACAATAGCGCCATCGAATCCCGGCAAAAAAACCTTGTACATGATGATGATATTTGGAAAAAACATCCCTACATCACCTGAACCCGCGCGTGTTTGTATCTCCACGCTGCCTCTACAACAGAGGACCGATCTCTCACGTGACTTCAATCTGATTGTTCCGTATTGTAGTTATATGACCCGCGACAACTACTTCGCAACGAATGGGCAATAAACTCTTCAGCACATCAACAACAACAATGAGAAACGTTATCATGTAATAATCACAAAAACTCTGATTTCGTGGAGCACATTAAATTTCCTTTCAGTTTAACGAATAAAAGGACACTTTGAACATAAATATTCTCGGAGAGAGCGCACGCGACCCGAAATAACATTAACTCAATGTTTATTATATTTCCCGATGTCAACCCGAGATAATTGATGTTGCCAACTTTTACGTATTAACGGGAATACCCGCAAAAAACCCAAATTACTTTAAACGAACTTCAGATTCGCGTAAACGCTATCTGGGAACGGCCGTGCTTTGCGCCACTGAAGGTCAACGAGCTTAAAGCCAGGGTGATGGTGAGTAGACACCGTCTTTCATGGGCTCCAACAACACCAGACTCATTGACTATTTGGATTTCAGGGGAACCGAACGAAGACTTTGTTGTCAAAACCCAATTTGACGTTGTCGTGGTCCGAAATTTTAAAAGCCTAAATCATCATCCTAAGCCTAAATTGTCATCTCGTTTTTACCATCGCACCGCCCGCTATCGGAGTAGAGTTCCGGCTATGGAATGAGCTCCCCTCTACGGTGTTTCCCGAGCGCTATGACATGTCCTTCTTCAAACGAGGCTTCTTGAGAGTATTAAGCGGTAGACAGCAGCTTGGCTCTGCCCCTGGCATTGCTAAAGTTCATAGGCGACGGTAACCACTCACTATCAGGTGGGCCGTATGATCGTCTGCCTACAAGGGCAATAAAAAAAAATCATCATCCGTCCATAGCAGCGACGTTGTGCTCCCGTGCCTCTACTGCGACGCAGTCCTGCAGACCGCTTTGAAGCACAGGACCGTCGTTATGTAATACACTGACTTCGACTCTTATCTAAGACCTTCAGGAGCTCGATCTAGTGCCAAAAACATACGCACTTAACACATGTTCACGAATGTCTTCCGCGATATAAGAATAATTTGTCCTGTGAACTCCCGCTGGTAGATAAAACCACCCTCATATCTGCCGTGCAGCAGTGATGCCTTCCGGTTTGAAGTATGGGGCAGCTTTTGTACTGTAGAACTGAGACTTAAAGCTCGTGTCTCAAGACTCCAGTGTCTATGGGCCAGTAATGGGCCAGTAAGCTCATTCGTCTGCCTACAAGAAAGATGATCAACCAATGTCAAATACTAAAGGCTCTTACGTATTGTTCAAAGGTGAATGGAGAGGCGATAGGAGAATGCTGGACATCACGCGAGACAAGCCCGTCAAGGTCTGCGTGCGAGTCGTGGTTCCAGTGAGGGATCACCCTAAAGTAAGTACCTGGCATATATCAAACTAGAAGTAATTAGATTTTTTCATTTATATAGGGTGTCTCAGAATGTTTTTCATTTTTAGATGTTAAATAAAAAACAACAATATTTATTAAAACTCGTTTTATTTATTGTTAAATTAAACAGCAGTTCTTGAAGTTTATTTATAAAAAAAAAAAACCGTTTGCAAATGGGCGCCATTCACTTGTTCACACTCATTTAATCATTGGAGCTAAAATTTTCAATCACTCGCTGGAGCATCGCTCTTGGAATAAGAGTTGATTTCTTCCATGATTCTTTGCTTCAAAACATTCAGCTTGGGTGGCAATGGATTGTAGACTTTACTTTTTAGGTAGCCTCATAGGAAAAATCAGCAGGCTTTAAATCAGGGCTCCTCGGTGGCCAGTTGATGTCTCCTCGGCGACTTATCACTCTTCCAGGGAATAAATCTTGAAGAGCAACTAATGAGTCATTTGTAACATGAGAAGTGGCTCCATCTGGAAAAAGATATTGTGGTTGTAGCCATACTGGTTTTGCATTTCTATAGCCAAAAAAGTCCGGATCATATGACAGTAACTAGTAGTCAATTCAAAAACGAAAAACATTTTCAAACACCCAATATATATGTCGGAGAAGCCACAGTTATTAACACCATCGTCAGACATCGTAGGGGCGAATAAGGTGATCGAGCTAAGAGAAATATTGAGTACATCAATGACGTTTGTTGTCTTAGAAAAATTTAGAAATCTTCTCTTGACGTTAGCAAACGAAAACGAATGACAGTTCTTAGGACGGAGGCACCGCTCTTCAAGAAGGCTGGTTGGTAAGTGTGATGGCGTCTACGCGCCTCTATCGACTAGGCTCTGTCGTAGCACGAAGTTAGCCGAGTTCCGACGATACCGCAACCGTGCTGCCATCTCTTGGGAATCGTACTGTGTTTCGTTTAGCTACCAAACTAATGATCGTCTCCGACATATATATTTCTAAGATGGGTGGACTCACCCACGGCTCTGTGTTAAGTGGTTACGAGAATTCATAGGCATGAACAACGAAAAAGTCACCCATCTTGGGACATGAATTACAAGTCTAAGTTTCACCGTTGAAGTCGATCGTGAACATTTATGAACTGCGTATGTGTTTCATTAAAAAAATTGGTACATGTCCGCGGGATTCGAACACTGGCAAAGTCGCATGACACGAATCTACCGAGCATCTTAACCTTTAGGCCAGAAGGACTTTAATTTTATTTAATTGATGATTGATAGGTACCTACAACAGAAATTATTACTAACTAGCTGACCCGGCAGACTTCGTAGTGCATCAATCGATAAATAAAAGACCTAAACTTTTGTATAAAATAAACTTAAAACAAACAAAAGGAATCCGTCCGACGGGAGACACATCAAAGGAAAAACAAATATGTTATTTTTATTTAATTTCAAGTATTTTCATATTTATCTAAACCTTTTAAACCTTCTCTGGACTTCCACAAATAATTCAAGACCAAAATTAGCCAAATCGGTCCAGCCGTTCTCGAGTTTTAACGAGACTGACGAACAGCAATTCATATTTATATCTATAGATTTGATAAAAAAAAATCACAAATAATCTCAAATTAATACGCATCGAACTAAATTCAAGCTAACCGGATCACCAGTTTTGGTACAAAAAAAAATCACAGGTCATCCGCACACCGTAAAACAACAACAATGACAACAACAACAAAAAAACAAAAAAGAATTCGCCAATTCTCTCAAGTTTCCCTGTCATCTGTGTGCTGATAAATTCCCGGGCTATTCTTCACTGTTATGTTCAGAGCAAATCGGGTCGGCAACAACACGTGCCTATCGCGTTTCTCCTGCGCGCTTTGAAAAATTATACGATTTTCCCATTCAAGGCTTTTTGGTACGACCAGCGAAAATTTCCTGTATTTTCTTGCATCGTATTTTTAATGTACCCACGTTTTAATTATTACTCCTTCTCCTCCTTGTATTTAAATAATAACTAGACGATGACCGAGCTTTAGTCGTTTTTTTTTTTTTTTGATAACGCCATCTTGTTGTGTCTTTAAAGCGGTTAGTTGCCCTCAATTAAGAAAAATAGTATTTGTTGAATATGGCGGTCGAATGAGCGTTGTTACTGAATTTCATGGGCCACCAGACGGGCTCGGCTGGATCGCATGCAGCGTACTGATAGTCTGAGTAATAAAAGCACTGACTTCTTATGAACAATTGTATTTAGTCTGAATTAGAACATTTAATTATATTCAAGTCTGATTGAAGTGTACTGAAGACGCGTCCGTTCGCGTGAGAGGCGCTTGGGCAGAGAGCGAACAGAGTAGTGAATGGTAAAACTGAACATTAGCATAGATTATTACGGCTTCGTACTGACCTAATACAGATAAACAATTTCGTTTTTACAGAGTAATAATTACATGTGAATTTGCGTGAACAGTATTATTATTCGCCAATAGATGTCGGGAAGAGTTGATTATTGAAAACACGAATAAAACAAATTTTTCTGAAAATAAATCGTAGCTAGATCGATTTATCGCCCCCGAAATCCCCTGTATACTAAATTTTATGAAAATCGTTGGAGCCGTTTCCGAGATTCAGATTATATAGGTATATATTAATATAAAATAATTGCTCGTTTAAAGGTATAAGTTAATAATATAACTCTTTATTTGACACCACATGTACAGAGTAAGCATATAACACAAATAATAGACGGTGACATAAATTGGCGGCATTATCGCTGAAAGCGATCTCTTCCAGGCAACCTTGCAAAAAGAGGAATAAGCAAACTAGCATGGACGGTGCTATATCTTAATAAACTTACATAAAAATATATACTTATATACACACATGTGAAAAATGAATACAATATAAGATAGACTTACATAAGATTAAATACAAATAAATACTAAATTTTTTGCATTGTATCATATTTCTCTATGCTATGGGTTGGGAACTTTACGTGGGACTTTTATTTCTACTATGTTCCCTTACTCTTTTTTGTCCTCTGCGCAGTGGATAACGACATTGATGCTGGAGTCCATTGTCTACTTAATTTTTTTTTATTGCTTAGTTGGGTGGACGAGCTCACAGCCCACCTGGTGTTAAGTGGTTACTGGAGCCCATAGACATCCACAATGTAAATGTGCCACCCACCTTGAGATATCAGTTCTAAGGTCTCAAGTATAGTTAGAACGGCTGCCTCACCCTTCAAACCGAAACGCATAACTGCTTCACGGCAGAAATAGGCAGGGTGCTGGTACCTGCCCGTGCGGACTCACAAGAGGTCCTACCACCAGTAATTACGCAAATTATAATTTTACGGCTTTCATTTTTATTACACGATGTTATTCCTTCACCGTGGAAGTCAATCGTGAACATTTGTTGAGTACGTATTTCATTAGAAAAATTGGTACCCGCCTGAGATTCGAACACCGGTGCGTCGCTCAACACGAATGCACCGGACGTCTTATCCGTTAGGCCACGACGACTACAAAACTTAAAACCAGGTGACCTCTGAGCTCGTTCACTCATCTAAGCAATAAAAAAAATCCTTTGTCACGTAAATATCAAACATGCTTCTATTTATTGAAATGATATATTCAAGTATGGAGACGTCCTTATGCGCTCCCGCCACGGCCGTAATTTACAACGTTGCGACAAGAAATTCGTCATTATATTTAGTAATTCTTAGAGCGAGGTCATTCCTGAACCGTCGTGACTCGGTGATGAAGTTTCTTAGTGTCCATTTTTATTGACGGGGTGTGTTTGGCCAATTATCGAAAATCAGTCATTATATTTGGCACTAGCTTTTGCCCGCGACCTCGTCCGCGTGGAATAGTTCACAAATAATGCTTTATTTTAGAACAAATTTGGTTAGCATAAAAAACGTTATAGTGAGCCAACCTTAGCATATATACATATGCTGACTCGGACTTTTTTTTTGATCTTATAGAGGGGCACAATTCTGTCATACATTATTTTAGCGAAACTTTAATTGTTTCTGCAGCGCACGCAGCGGAAGCTCTCAAAAGGGAAAAAATCCCGATTTTAAAACATTCTTTATTGGTGCTCCGCTTGTATTGATCTTAGCGTAATGTAATATAGCTTATAGCCTTCCTCGATAAACGGGCTATCTAACACTGAAAGAATTTTTCAAATCGGACCAGTAGTTCCCGAGATTAGCGCGTTCAAACAAACAAACTCTCCAGCTTTATGATATTAGTATAGATTACAAGATTTACATTTGTTTTGAATGCAACGTCGGCTTAATAATTTATCGGGGAAACAAGAAGATAATAAAACTTGGGAAGTTTTGGTTTTAGAGAGAGAAGAGAGAATATACTTTATTGCACACCAAAACATAATTCACATTTGAAAAACAGTCAACAAGAGACATTTGTACAATTGCCGGTGTCCGCGCCAGTACTTCACGTACAAGCGGGGACTACGAGGTCTGCGGGGGGGTCCAACCACCACCACGGCATCGACGACTCGAGCGGCGAGGACCGAACACACACAGCGACACAGAACACTACTGGAACGATATAGAATCGCACGCGCGACTCGCGGCTAATATTGCATTAAAACTTTATATACAGTCCACCTTACAATAAAACCTCAAGAACAAAACCTTTATTTTACTGAGTCTATCGAACAGCCGGCCTTATCGCTAAAAGCGATCTCTACCGAACGACCGTTTAATTTACAGAAATTTTGGAAAAGATAAAGATATAGCTTAGGTATAGAAAATGTTTTAATGGTTAGAAATCAAAAACCGTTTCCTCTAAATAATTAGATAGATAATTATCTAATGGGAGCCTCAGTGGATTATTACTACAGATCTCTGACCCTACCTCTTACTACAGATTTCTAATGATATAACGCATATGAGAATTTACAAAAAGCCACTTAGAAATATCGTAAGTAACACAGATAATTTTTTTATCAATCTCACTCGAATTTTGACACAAATTTCTAAGTTT